TTATAGGCATTTCACATGCAGGTTAAAATTATGTTACATTTGACTTAGTTCAGTACATGTTTTTCTCCTGGTGTAAGAGGTACTGTAAATCTTGTAGTATAAAGTATAATAGATGGGATAACCATTTCTTAGTGTGAGAGACCATTTATTTGTTCATAGTATATATTATTTACTCATCTTCTATGTTGGTCATTTTTGATGTAGTCATTTTGCCTTTCAATCCATTATTTCTAATGCTTACTGCCCTTAGATTATTTGATGGTCACTTGAGTTTGTATTTTAACAAGTTACTGTTTTTTTTTAAAGCATATTCACTTTTGGAAGCCACTGTGATGAGGATCTGATTATTTAATAAGCATTTGCTATGAGGTACAGATATTCCCTGTAAATTTTAATGTATTTTTTCACCAGATTATCTTTTTATCTAAACTTAAAAAAAATCCTCAAATTAGTAAAAAATCTTATGAAAAGTATATACTTTGAGAAACACCACATTGTCTAGTTCTGAGGGCAAAATTGTTTTGATTGGGAAGAGTTGAAAGCAATGGTAATTTGCAATATAAGACACTTCATGGTGGGATATGCAAGAGGCATTATGAAGATTCTCCATGAGTCTGAGACAAGAAGAGAACCATGACAAGTGAGAACAGGGTTACAAAGGGAGTTAAAGAGTGTGGTAAATATTATGTGTCACCAGTGTTTACACCAGTGGATAATTCTTAATTAAATAGAAAATGTTGTCAGAGTTTGAATTCTATATGTTAAATAGGCCAAAGACTTGAATTGTTTTCTTACACTTTTTTTTTTTAAGGCAATTTCAATTAGGGAAAGACATACACAATGGGATCTCTATGGAAGGCTACAGCATAGATTGCAAACTAAGTTTTAACTAGAAAAAGCAAATTGAATGGGGCCTGAGAATTATATTGGAGATTTGTAAGAGTCATTGCAAAACAAAAAGTCACTGTAATAATTATGTGGGGGTGGGGTGGAGTGAACATTTGTGGTCCTCTCCAGCCCTGGGCAAAATAGACCTATGAAGAGTCATGATTTATATTAAATTAATGACATTTGTTACTCCTACTATATTCACATTTATTGTAACAGAAAAAAAAATGGGTTAAATAATAACTACTGTATTTCTCCTGTGTCTCTGCAAGTAATCTAGTTTGAGAATTATTTTTTTCATGCAATGACAATCTGTGTAAAACATTGTGATAGATGTCTGGGATCCATAAACTAAGAAAGTTTTTCTACCCTTTGGTGCTATAATGTAGTTAGAGGAGCTAGACATAATTCCATCAGAAATACTTAATAATATTTTCATAAGATATTCTCTTAGAGCTGTCCCCTTTCCCCACCAAAAGAGTAAGCTCAAGAAAGAGCAAGGAATTGCTTGTTTCTACTCAGATTATATATTAAAATGACCATGGAACAGTAAAACCAACCAAAAATATATAGATGCAGAGACTGCAACTCAGACTTTCTGGATCAGAATTTGAGATGGTAGAATCCATCTATTTGCTTGGTTTAAAAGCTCCATGGCTGGTTCTGATGCACATCTAGGGATGACAAACTCACATTCAGTGTGAGGGGTGGGTTAGGGAAAGTCAGGTATGGCTATTGAAAAGAATAATCTATAAGCTAATTTTGGAAAGATTGATAACTATTTCCCAGGTAAAGAATGAAAAGCAAGGAATCTGAACCTGCTTCTCAAGGAAATAATAGTTAATCCATCACATGTAGCCAGTGCATCATAAGCAGGTCTGGGGCAAGGGGACTAGAGAACTTCTCTAGAAAGTGGGTACAAGATATGAACACTACCCTGAATGAAGGAATGACGTGGTCCATGAGAAAAAATGAGAGAAGACCTAATTATCTGGAGCACAGAGATCAAGATGACACTGGGGAACAGATGATTCTATACTGACTGTCAGGGAACTGAGCACTAAGAGCCCTGACAGCCATGTGAAGTACTGAATCTAAGAGCAGGCATTGGATGTCATGATTGGATCTTCATTTTCATGAGGTCATGGTGACTAGTGCATGAGGAGTAAGAGATTGGAGGTGGTGAACGTGGGAGCTGTTAAGCATTCATTGCGGTACTCTAGGGAAGAAAACATGGAAGGTTGCCCTGCAGGGTCAGTGAAAATGGAAAAAGAAACCAAACATGAAAGCCTGAACTGAGGGGGCAGTGGAATTGAAGAAAATTGTCTGAATTTGAAAAATATTAACAAACTAAAATGAAGAATCTATAATACAGCCAGGAGGGGTAGTACTAAAATCAGCAACTCTCACTTATGTCATGGCTTTCTTCCTGTGTTCTCAAAACTGAACTAAAAATGGACTGTTAATATGGAGGTTAGTTAAGGTACAGCCAGTGCGTAAATGTATGTGTGTGCATGTGCGTGTGCATGTGTGTGTGTGTGTATATATGTGGGTGTGTGGGTGTGTGTGTGTATGTGTGGGTGTGTGTGTGTATGTGTGTATGTGTATGTGATACATACATCTTTTGGAATTGCATTAGAAATGCAAAACTGGGAAAAACTGTCAAACAGAAAGTAAAGGAGCTTTATAAAGTAGATCATCTAAATAATAAAATTATCAAAAAGGGAGCTTTAAAAGTTAAGAGCTAATGCAGTCACCTAAGGACAAGTATGATTCCCCTAGTTTAGGTGGCTGTGCCAGCACACAGTTCCTGCAGAAATCCTAGGTTTGGATCTAACTTACTGAGGAACTAGAATATATGGCATGCCTTGTTTTTAAACTAACCATGATGTGAAATTCTTGATGTAGTTTATCTTATTTGATCTTAATATTTTCCTTTTGGTATCAGAAAGATCTTAGAGAAGAAGAAACCATTCTCAAGAAGATTTGATAGCTTGTCCAAGGCCAGGCCTTGCATAGTTATGTTTCATGTTACTTAATTTGATTTGGATTTATTTGATAATAGCAATCATATCTCAAGTTGTGGGTTTATCTTATTGTTTGAATACTTCGAACAAGTTTTGCTTGCAGCATTAATCAAAGACAAAGGCCTGAGAAGGGTCATAAACTGCAGACAATTCAACATCAGGCAACCAAGGGAAGGGACAAATGAGATGTTCACATTGGTGACAAGGCAAAATCAAGGAAGAGATTTTCTGGGAAACACACTTAGAATTTTAATAGAACAGGAAAGAAAATGTTCTGAAACATCTTTGAAGGAAATGAGTAATTGGGGAGAAAATTCAATCATAGGAAGATGAGAGAATCAGCTCAAGTTGAGACTTAAAAGGCAGTGAATGCTCAGACCAAACCCCGATGAATACTTTGAATTTAGATCAGTGCCTTTTAAAGGGTGGTGATCAGTTTTCCATGCAAAGATCCTATCTGTAGGTCTTGTTGCGTTGGGGTGAAAATGGTCAGGGCCTCTTCTTGCTGATTTGAGGGGAAGGTGAAATACTCCTACCTTCTGAATAAGTAGCAGGAATTGTCTCAGAAAAAGACTTCCTAATAATTTCTTGGGCTGTAACTTATTTGCTATAGTAACTAGAAGTGATGATTAGTGGAGAGGAAAAGGAAGAGAGTGGTGCTCAGTCTGTAATCTACCAACTGGGTGTTGAAATAAATCATACAGATAAATTTCCAGAGAGCTGGAGCACAGCAGTCAGAAGTACTAAAGCAACTGTAGCAAAAAGAATATGGGTGAAGGGTTCTGGGGAGGATATATACATATCCTCTCATAGACAAAGTTTTAGAATTAGGAGAAATTATTCATATATTCTATTGTCATTTTGCAATGAGGAGTTCCAGCTTCAAGTGAATTGACTTGATAAAATTTCACACATTTAAGGCAGACAAACAAACCACTTCTGTGCTCAAAAAGCTCCTCTGGTTATTATGTCCCTGTACACATATTTAAAGTCAAAATAGAGTAGTTTTAGGGGCCTGATCTTTCACAATCTGGTCTCAAACTTTGTTTTTAATCTACCCCTACCTGCTGTTCTCTGGATGAACAGAGATGGACTGTTCTGGAGAAACATCATGGCACAATGGTTAAAATGTGTTAACTTCAGGAGTAGAATGTACTGATTTAAATCCTGCATCTGGTTTTCTAGTCTGTAAAGTAAGGATAACACTGATCCATCACACAGGGTCACTAAGCTATTTAAACTACCTTTATGTCACTTGAATCAGCATTTAAATTTAAAAAGCAGTATCATAGCATTTTTTTGTGATATTTTATTTTTCTTGAGTACCTTGAGTACAGGGGAGACCCAGCTGTACAGCAGCACATGGTCCTACCACTGAGTAGTTCACCATGTAGTGAGGAAAACAGAGGCACAGACATTGACAGTCTAGCATGGCATACTCTGTGTAAGGGTGGACAAGGAGAGAATTAGACAGGCATCAACACAGCTGGGGGGAGCAGTGGGCCAAGACTCCCAATAGGAGTGGGATCTCACTGGAGGATCAGAAGTCAGGCAAGTGATTCAGAGAGCAAGTTCACTTCACATAAAGGGAATGGCATGTGGGAAAACAGGTTTGAGCAGGCAGTTCATGTATGGAAAATGGTGTCATATCCACAGACCTTGAATGTGGCATGATATGGCAACAAGGAAACTTGGGAGATTAAAGTAGATTTGTACTCCTTAGATAAAGACCTCATGGAGTAAGCCAGCAGTTCTGATTTCACCCTCCTTTTAGGCAACTATAGAGGATTTTAAACAGGGAATGGTATGTTTGTATTTGTGTCTTTGACAGACAAGTCTGACTGCATGTCCATGATTGTATGTCTTAAATTATGTTTCTGCTAATATTTAATTTGGAAGTTGAAATAGCATTCTCCCCCTTTTATTAATGTTGCTTCCTTGGCTAGTTGGGGATGAATATATGTTATCAAAGTGTTGCCATCAGGTATGCTAATGTATGTTTGTATGTGAGTTTTATGAAGTACATGGACTATTACATGAAAAATCAGAATTTGAATTACCTCATTTTTAATTTATTCTTTTAAGGTCTGACAGCAGCAGCTGCAGCAGCTGCCGCTGCTACCAATGCAGCTATTGCCGAAGCAATGAAGGTGAAAAAAATCAAATTAGAAGCTATGAGCAACTATCATGCCAGTAATAACCAACATGGAGCAGATTCTGAAAATGGGGACATGAATTCAAGTGTTGGTAAGTTTCACGTTCACTAAAACTGATCATAATCACTTTGCTATGCAATTACTTCCCTAGAACAAAAGTATTTGCTACTCTTTAAAAAAAATTGTTATATTCAGTTTGAAAACTTTGCATATTTTGAAGATACCATTTTTCTTTCTGAAAACACGCACTCGGAGTAAGTAAGTAGTTACCAATATTATCATATTATAGTACCAACTTTATGTCTGTAGCTTTTACAATAAATATTCAATTAACATCTTGTAATGCAAATAAATTTTGATAATCAGAATTCTAAAATATTGACTATGGGTTAAGTTGACAAATATAACTGCTACACTTTATGTTTTCATTCTTTTAATGTATTTTTTTTAGCAAGTAAGAAATGCACTACCATTATCAGCAAAATAAGCAGTACTCCTCCTCTAATTTATAGGGAATGCATTCCAAGACCACAAGGGATGTCTAACACTAGGGATTAGCATTGAACTCCATATAATTACTATGTTATACACATATCTATGATAAAGTTTGTTATAAATGAGGCACAGTAAGAGATTAACAACAACAACTAATAATAAAATAGAACAATTTTAACAATGTATTGTGTTAAAACTTATCTAAGACTTATCAATTATGTATTTCTGGAACTTTTCCATTTAATGTTTTCAAACCTGAGTTGACATAGAWAACTGAAATAACAAAAACAAAATCATGTATGGGAAGTCTACCATAAACTTAATTTCTCCATGTGCTGCCGAGAATAAGGATTATTTTGAGTAATTCTTTCTATACAAAACCATCGCCAAAGTCTTCTTCCTTTAAAAACTACAACTTTAATTTTTCTTGACATTTTTTTCTTCTCCTGCCATATGAGGAAAAGGAAATGAAAATTAACTGCCACAAGTAAACTAAATAAAAGATTAACTTTTGCAGCATATTCGTTTGGGTAATTTGTTTTGTCAAACACAACCTCAAAGGTGGGTTAATTTTGTGATTAATGAAATCTCTAGCATCTGGCTATTGATATAGTAAAACATTTTATTCTGTCACTGAACTGTGTTTTTTTTTAATTTAAAATAAAGAAATCATGCTCAAAATACAATTTAAAAAGGGAAATTTGGATTCTAAAAGATGTGTGCAAGATACCATATATGACATTTGCTCATGACAAATACAAAAATTCATGATAATTCAATTGTCTTTTCTATGCAGCATTTTAACAGATCATTTTGTAAGTATTCAGTAGCTCTCTCTGCTTTCAGTCCACTAAGACGTAGATAAGAGACTGGGGATGTAGCTCAGTGATAGAGCATTTTGCCTGGCATGTGTGAGGCCCTGTGTTTGATCCCCAGCACTACAAAACAATAATAATGAGGAGGAGGAGGATAATGATATAAAAAGAAAATAAAACAAAGGCACATTTAAAATTGTTTACAGAAGTATTATGGGCTTTCCTAATCATTGTTTTCACTACAGTTCCGAGAAACATACACCAGATGTGAATTGTAGAATAGGCAATAATTTTGAAATACATACACAGAGTACAAAGTGTATCACTGATGCTTCTGTGATGATAAAGGGCAGCTTTCAAGTGTTAAAAGGGGAAACAGAACTTTTCGGTAGAACCTCATGAGGGATATTTAAAATGACTGGCAGCAATGGTTTGCATTGAGAGTAGGTGGTGGTGGCAATTCTAGAAAGGTGAAAACATGGAAGGTAACCCAAACAGAGGACTCCAAGCTGAAAGGCACTAAGGGAAATACCACTGCTCACATTTCTAATTAATTTTAGGGAGAAGACTGAGAGGGCAGAGGGTTTTTTTTTTAGGTCATGGTGTATACATATACATTTGAAAAGTTAAACCAATATTGAAGTAAAATGAAAGAATTACACTTCTGTGTTTAAAACTACTAAGGATACATTTTCTTAACACAAAAGTCTTTTACTTTCACTTATAAAATAAGAGAATAATGAACACTTTTAAAAATAATCTATTTACCACTATGAATTTTGGTTTTCATTCCAAAATGTAATCTGGATTGTTTCCAAAAATTTTCTAATAGGCCTTTAATGCAGGCTCTTCTTGATAGTTGGGTTTTGAGGAGGAATTCTTAAAATAAGCGATACAATGACATTTAAAGCAAAATTTGTTAAAACGTGTTACACCTGAATTTTCCTGAGCAACACAGCTTTGGAGAACTGACAGACATAAGAGAAGGGGAATATGACCTATCAGTAAGCATTAATATATAATTAATATTTGATAGCATTTAATAACATTTTCCTACTAATCAAGTTGTATATTACTGTAATTATTTAGGTACATAGGTTGTAATAATGGCTTAAAATATAAATAATTTCAATTTCTCTTTGTATTTTAGTTGGAACAAATCACTTGTCTTCCATTAAGGTATTTAGTTTTGGTAATTTATACTGCTTTTGGACATTTACCATTCAACATTGAACGAGCAGCAGAAATTTTCTTGAATTTTCCTAGATTTTAATATTTTGAGATTTGTTAACATTGGTGCCATTTCTAGTCCCCAAGATATGTAGGTGATTTGTATTGTAGGTATCGTTTACTGATTTTGGGGGTGGTTATCATTGTCATTTTCATTCCATTCTCATGTGCCACATGAGATATAATTTATAATCTAATCCTTCATGATCACCTCCATCCCTAGACATTTACCTGTAGAGTAAAGGAAGTGAGTGTGGGAGGAAGGAGGGGGATTGGAAAGAGCAATGGTGAAGGTGGGAGTTGAGCTTGCAGATATAAGAGCATTTGCTGAATTTAATAATTTTATTTGGCCCCAGACGTCTCTATTTAGAGGATAATGCATGGCTCTTGGTGTTTAATAATGAATTTCTCTGTGACTTTCGAAAGTTATGTAAATTTTTTGAGCCTAACATTCTACATCTGGAAAACAGTATAAATAGTGGTGTCTACATCATGAGAAGTAAAATATGTGTCTAGAATTATCACATTATTTAGTACAAGGTCCACTTATCACATTGGTTGGAGTCTTGGTGTTGCTTTTGATATTACTATTTCTCTGAATTTTCCCTTCTGAGAACTTCCTTTCTCTTTTTACTGCCATCAATTGCTTCCTCCTTTGTTTTCTTCTTCCCTCTGCTAGGTATTACTTAAGTTACAGACCTTATGAGAGAATTGGAGGGCAGGTTTTATATCATTTGGGTTTTGTTGTATATTTGATTTTAGCTCATTGTAAGAATACAAACATGATGTCATGCAGGCCCAGAACTCAAAGGGCATATACTGTCTTGGCAACATGAATTAATAGGCAGTCATAACAAGACATGGTGGCTCTTCCAGGAGAATCAGTTATCATGACATGGTAAAGAAGTAATATTGAAGAATATGAATTCTAGAAGGAATTCCAAGACTCTTCAAATCCTCCATGTCAGTGTACAGACTTACTGCTCTCGTGAATCCATCAATTGGTTCTTTGAAGTAGTGAAGCCCTTCAGAGAGGTGCTACTTAAATGATGTATCCTTGCTACTCAGTCTTGCCCAAATCCAGTGACATTTTTGAAGTCAAGTCAGTCCTTTTTTTACTTCTTGTTCTCATCTGGCTCACAAGTTCTGTCAAACCTTTTGGGCTTTCTTTTGTAGGAGCACTGTTTTTTTTTTTTTTTTCCCTTGGTTGTAAATTAAACCTTATAGTCCCAAGAAATAGATTTTGTTTTTGCTTGGTTTGGTTTGATTTGGCTTGGTGAGGTGACAGCAAAATTTCATTATAGATGACCCTTTCCAGTTCATAATATGAATCTTAAAAATTAGCCCCCAAAAGATGTGTAAAGAAACCTTTGACACTGACAAATAATTATTTTATACCCCAATTTGACATCATAACCTTGAGCTCAGATCTTTCCAACAGAATGATCACTTTAGGAAGAAGTGGGGACCTCGGGATAGACCTGAGTGAGGCATCAGCAAGCTGAGTAAAATATATGGCCATGTTGCCATTCTCCCTCATCCACAATCAATTGGATTCTTTTAGTTTAATATTTACTTGCTAAGATGAGATGCTAGTCTGCATGGTGATAAACAGTCTGCTCCTGGCATCTGAAGGTGACCTGTCAGTTCATATGGACAAATCTCCTGCTTACTGAAATGTACAAAATAAATCATTAAAGCAGGCAGGTGCTCATTCCCAGATTTAAATCACCATAGATTTATGATTTGAATTAATGCTTCATTTGGCCATAGAAATAGATGCTGAGACAAATGATATGCACTGGTTGGGGCTTCCATACTGTAGCCATCCTGATATTGATTACTGAGATGTCTTAGCAATCTCTTGTTTATATCAAGTACTATCTTGTGACAGGTTGGCTGATATGAGCTACATTGCAGATAAGAAGGAAAAATGTCCTGGATTCTTTTTAGTGGCAACACTATCCACAACATACAGGCCAGATAAATTGCTATTTTTTTGCTTTAAGGACTGATCTGCATAACCAGCTTAAAAAATGCTGCTTGGAAATTGAAACTGGGATATTGGAAAAACAGAATTTAAAACCAGTGAACCCAAGGTCAATTTGATAGTTTCTATAACTATGTTTTATCTGTTTATCCTTTTTTTGGCATTATGCACATTTTTGAGGATACTGAATTAATCACAATTGGCTTAGTCTAAATAAAGGAAACTTAATTTTACTTCTAGTTTTCAAATGTTTTATAAATATTGACATAGTAAGCATCTCTTAAAGTATCTATGTTATTTAAATACTTGCTGAACCTAGTGTCTTACTCCCCTCACTAAAGACAACAAAGGAAATAAACCTTTTAAAAATGCATTAAATATTATTCCCAAATGTAAAGTTTTGTGAACCATAATTTACTAAGAGGCAGGAAAAGCCTGCATTTGTACTTATCTTAACATTTTATTTAAGGAAAACACTATTTACACAGTTTAAAAAATACTCAGAGGATTTGAGAGGGATCTTTGCCCCTAGCTAATATCTGACTCATAGAACTGGTAAAC